TTGCAGCTAATTTTCTGTCCAAGTGGACTTATGCAAGTTTGGTGTATTGATATTAGTGTTTGGATTGGTTCTGCAGAATGTGTTTTGAGTTAAATGTTATAGTTCCTCCCCTCCTACTATGTGAAAGGCAAAAGAGACTTAAATTTTGGGGTGCTATTTAACAAGCACTGTTCTAATTAGAAATCACAATGGTTCTAAAAAATTTTTTAAATAAAAATAAATTTATAAAAAGAAATCATATGGAAACCAACTTGACAATAAACTATTTAAGAAAAAAAATCATATTACCTCCTAAGGAGTTGGTGGTGATTATAAAACCATGCATTATTCCTTAAGAAGGTTAAGGAACCCAAGACAATTGAGGCTGGATCATTTCCTGAGTATGGCTATATCTTTTTTCCCCTTCGCAGTCCTCATTGCAATCTACTCAGAGAATTCTACTTACCTGGTGCCCCCAGCCCCACTAGCTCCCTGCCTATTCCATTACTGCTTTCCTCCTTCCTCTTTTACATTTCACTCACTCCAGAAATGCTCTCTGCCCCAATATAAAGGATATTGAGGGATGCCTGGGTGGCTGAGTCAATTAGGCATCTGACTTTGGCTCAGGTCATGATCTCCCCATTCGTGGGTTCAAGTCCCACATCAGGCTCTGTGCTGACAGCTCAGACCCTGAAGCCTACTTCAGGTTCTGTGTCTCCCTCTCTCTGCCCCTCCCCCACTTGCACTCTGTCTCTGTCTCTCTCTGAAAAATAAACATTTTTTAAGAAAGGATACTGAGTGTAGCAGCAAAGAAAACTTTAAACAATCCAGTTTTTAAAAAAAGACTCTCATCCTGGGGCGCCTGGGTGGCTTAGTCGGTTAAGCGTCCGACTTTCGCTTAGGTCATGATCTCACGGTTCGTGGGTTCGAGCCCCGCGTCGGGCTCTGTGCTGACTGCCAGCTCAGAGCCTGGAGCCTCTTTCGGTCTGTGACTCCCTCTCTCTCTGACCCTCCCCTGCTCACGCTCTCTCTCTCTCTCTCCTAGAAATAAATAAAAAATATTTAAAAAACAAAAAAAAAAGACTCACATCCTAAAAAGAAAACAACCTTGACCCCACATGTCTCCCCACAGCTACCTTATTTCTCTGCTCCCCTTTCCAAAGGCAAAACTCTTGAAATACTTGTTCTTATTCAATCCTCTCTTTCCTTTCTTCCCTTTCTTTCTTGAAACTACCACATTCAGGCTTCATCTCCACCACTGCACCAAATAGGTCCTGTCAAGGTCATCAGTGTCATCTACATTGCCCAATCCAATGATCAAGTCCTTGTCACTCACCACCTGTCAGCAGCACTTACACAGCTGATCACTCTTAATTCATGCACTTTCTTCACCTGGTCTTGGGATGGAATGATCTCTCATTATTCTCCTCCACCTCAATAGCTCTTCTCCTCTGCTTTGCTGCTTCCTCCTTTTCTTCCTGACCTTTGATTAGTGAAAAGCTCCAGAGCGCAGTTCTCAGACTTGTTCAATCTATGATTGCTCCCCAGATCATCCACCTACTGATTCTAAAGACTGCATTCAACATGGTGTTATGGAACAAACTTTAAGATATATGTTAAATGAAAAAAGATAAAAGATGGAAAGTTGGATTTGGCGTGACTGACAACACAGGGATACAACACTTAACTCCTATTCTGAAAGGCTGGGGCACAAAATAAACCAGGGAGTCACATTAAAGAGCTGACTATACAGCCCCAACCAGTAATGTTTTTGCTAATTAAACCGGAGGCAGTAAAAAAAATGAATCAGGCATATATTCCACCCTCCAGAATGTATAGTCTTCTGGGGAAATGAAAAATAAATAGTGACAAAATAAGGAAGAAAATGGTGTCACCATTGAAATGACAGGATGTATGGAAGCTCAGATAAATAGAGCAGCTTTTAAGTTTTTTGAATGTTTACTTATTTACTTAGAGAGAGAGACCAGGGAGGGGCAGAAAGAGAGAGAGTCGAGGGAGGAATCCCAATCAGAGTTTCTGCTGTCAGCACAGAGCCCAATGTGGGGCTCGAACTCAGAAATCCCAAGATCGTGATCTGAGCTGAAATCAGGAGTCAGAGGAGTAACTGAGCCACCAAGGTGCCCCTAGAGCAGCTTTTAAAAGCTTGATGAGGGGCGCCTGGGTGACTCAGTTGGTTAAGCTTCCGACTTCTGCATAGGCCATGATCTCATGTTTTGTGGGTTCAAGCAACGCATTGGGCTCTATGCTGACAGCTCAGAGCCTGGAGCCTGTGTCTCCCTCCCTCTCTGCCCTTCCCCGACTTATGTTCTGTCTCAGTCTCTCAACAATAAACATTAAAATTTTTAAAAATAAATAAATAATAGCTTGATGAAGCTGAATTATTTTTTTTACTTCATGCTTTCAAAATAACATTTCCTAATTGTCTCTATTATCAAACTAAAACTTCTGAAAGTTTCCTGTCTCCTATGCATGCTACTCTCCAAACTCTCAAACTCCCAGAGTAGAAAACCTTTTTATTTAGAACTACTCTCCAACAAACCTCAAGAACTCAAGAAAAACATAACTTAGGATTAATTTTTGCAGAAAAAAAGAACTTCACTTAAAGAGAAAGGGGTCAAATGGAGAAATGAACACACAGGGCACAGGGAAAAATGTAGAGAGGTTGCCCCAAGCTAACAGATGGCTCAGCAGCCACCCAGCTCTCTGATTCCAAAACCCATACACTTTCAGTGTGACAGCCTGTCTTAGATATAAATGCAAGCTTAAATTGATTATAAAAGAATGGAAGATAACCAGTGGAAAGGAAAACATTTAATTTACAGAAAGGAGGGGATTGTTGGTTGAGCAAGTCCCATGGAAGAACTAGAGCAACACACGAAATTCAAACGAGGGTACATCCACAGAAACGCTGTAAAAGCATGATGAAAACAGAGAGGCAGAATGATTCCCATTTCGCTGCAGAAAAACAAAGACTGTCTTAAAAACAATTACCCCATTTTGGGTCTTTGGTGAAATCATTTCCTTTCACTTTCCATATCTATTTTGCGTCAATGAGCAGAAGAAATTAAATCCAGAGCTAGATAGATCTCACCCTGGCTGGAAACTTTTATTCCTGCCTCCTGACTTCCGGTCCCCAGTCCACCCAAGCCTCCTACACACTCCACTCCCCGTTTTACACAACCTCACCAGCTCCTGCCCTCCTTTTTGGCTAACATCATTGTGCCCGTGGAGCCTAATCTCTATCAATCTATGTCCCTTCTTAAAACCGCAAATATGTCAGTTTTCTTTGAAGTTTTCCTGGACCCGATCTCACAGAGACAAATCAGAGGATTTGATTGATGTTCTGACCAGCAGCCACTGGCTGTGAATATTCCTATGTAGATTTTAATTCTCGTGTTTTCATGAGTATACATTTATAGTTGAGTTTACAGTAGTTGCCCCTTATCCCAGGAGATTAATTCTAAGACTCCCAGTAAATGCCTGAAATTGCAGGTGGTACCAAATCCTGTATGTACTATGATTTTCCTATACTTACATACCTATGATAAAGTTTAATTTATCATTAGGTACTGTAAATATTAACAATAACGAATAGAAAAATTATAACAATACACTATAATACAAATTAGGTGGGGCGCCTGGGTGGCGCAGTCGGTTAAGCGTCAGTCTTCCGCTCAGGTCATCACCTCACAGCTTGTGAGTTCAAACATCCTCTCAAGCTCCGTGCTGACAGCTCAGAGCCTGGAGCCTGCTTCGGATTCTGCGTCTCCCTCGCTCTCTGCCCCTCTCCCACTTGTGCTCGGTCTCTCAAAAACAAATAAACACTTAAAAAAAATTTTTTTTAACTATGTGAATATGTTCTCTCAAAATACCTTATTGGGCTGTACTCACTTCTCTTGTGATGATGTAACATAAAATGCCCACGTGATGAGGTGACGTGCGGTGGACGATACAGGCATCGTGAGGTATTAGGCTACTACCGACCTGCTGATTCGTCAGAAGGAGGATCATCCGCTTGCAGACCGTGGTAACTGAAAGTGCGGAAAGCGAAACTACAGATAAGGCGGACTCTTGTACTTTTTAAAAATTCCTTACAATTATGCACTCAATACGTATCAGTATCGATTGCCCAGCTTAATCACAGCTATCCAGGAGACAGATAAATCATAGATGGTAGGTAGGTAGATCAATGATCAATTGATACATAAATATTAAAGGACCACAAACGTTAACCAAAACTAAACACATTTTTTAAAATGTAGAGTTCTTCGAGCTTGGTGATAAAGCTGTTTCACAGTCAATTTACCGTATTACTCTGAGAACAATTTGCCATAAACATCAAAGTAATGTTACAAGCTTTTTTCTCCAAAGAAATGCACAGTGTGACAGTAAAATGTCAGAAATAATTAGACAAAATCGCACAATTCCACTGTGACACTAAAATATCTTTGGAGTTGAAATTTGTTATGGAACTTTAAAACTGGTGTGAAATCTGCTTATTATAAACAATATAATTTTTCTTTAATGTCCCAGAATTTCTCAAATATGATACAATGTGAATGTAGGTTTCCAAGTGTTAAAAAAAAAAAAACCTTTCCACGTGTAAAAGTTACATATATATTAATAAATATAAATAAGAAAGTAATTCAGGTGGCAAGATAGACTTAAAGTTGGTAATGTCTTCATGAAAAAGAGTTTGGGAACAACTTTTTTAAAAGTATCTTTTTGGTAGCTACACTTGTGGCTAGCACAGTGTGAGGAATAAACTTGTGCATCACTACTGAAATTAATGTAACATTGAGTGTCAACGATTTAATTTTTAAAAGGTATCTTTTGAATAATAATGTAAAAATGAACTTCACACCAGAGGTAAATAAGGAAAGTATATCAAAAATATATGTGAAGAATTTATGAATACTGAAATATTATAATGTGTTCCAGAGGAGAAAAATATTACTTTTTCATTCATTAACCAATAGCATACTATTTTCCAGGAACCCTCCACTCAGAAGAAATGCTGTGGTGCTTCCTTTTACCCCACACAAAATGGAACATAAAAAACGACATAGCTGAACAAACTATAGTCTTCTTATAAATGAAAGGCACCGAAGTCTGAGTAGTTTCCAACTGAGGGAAAATAACCAACAGCTTCTCCACGGTGTAGATTGAAACAGGGAAAACATGAATATCACTAACTGTACCACAGAAGCCAGTGTGGCTGGGAGACCCAAGACCATCACTGAGAAGATGCTCATTTCCATGACTCTGGTGATCATCACCACCTTGACCATGTTGCTGAATTTAGCTGTGATCATGGCCATCTGTACCACCAAGAAGCTCCACCAGCCTGCCAACTACCTGATCTGTTCTCTGGCCGTGACGGACCTCCTGGTGGCCGTGCTGGTCATGCCCCTGAGCATCATGTACATCGTCATGGACAGCTGGAAACTAGGTTACTTCATCTGTGAGGTATGGCTGAGTGTGGACATGACCTGCTGCACCTGCTCCATCCTCCATCTCTGTGTGATTGCCCTGGACAGGTACTGGGCCATCACGAATGCTATTGAGTATGCCAGGAAGAGGACAGCCAAGAGGGCTGGACTGATGATCCTCACCGTCTGGACCATCTCCATCTTCATCTCCATGCCCCCTCTGTTCTGGAGAAGCCACCGCCAACTCAGCCCACCTCCCAGTCAGTGCACAATCCAGCATGACCATGTCATCTACACTATTTACTCCACACTCGGGGCATTTTATATCCCCTTGACTTTGATACTTATTCTGTATTACCGGATTTACCATGCAGCCAAGAGCCTTTACCAGAAAAGAGGATCAAGCCGACACTTAAGCAACAGAAGCACTGATAGCCAAAATTCTTTTGCGAGTTGTAAACTTACACAGACTTTCTGTGTGTCTGATTTCTCCACCTCAGACCCTACCACAGAGTTTGAGAAGATTCACACCTCTATCAGGATCCCTTCTTTCGACAATGATCTAGATCATCCTGGAGAACGGCAGCAAATCTCTAGCACCAGGGAGCGCAAAGCAGCACGAATCCTAGGACTGATTTTGGGTGCATTCATTTTGTCGTGGCTGCCGTTTTTCATCAAAGAGTTGATTGTTGGTCTGAGCATCTATACAGTGTCCTCTGAAGTGGCTGATTTTTTGACGTGGCTTGGTTACATTAATTCTCTGATCAATCCTCTGCTCTACACAAGTTTTAATGAAGACTTTAAGCTGGCTTTTAAAAAGCTCATTAAGTGCCGAGAACATACTTAGATTGCAAACAGCCAAAAGGCATTACTTTTACCAGCTTGTGAGTGGACATGGGTAAGGGGTGCAACTTATTAATTTGTGAACATAGTTGGTTCAGGGAAGTTTGTAAGTTAGTGCGGTCTTTTTGTTTGTTTTGTTCTGTTTTGTTTGAAGTTTGTTATTTGGTGTGCCGTTTTCTACCTCTGGTTTTATTTGTGGTACATGATTTCAAATAAACATTATCATATAAAGACAGAAATGTCATAGAAGTAATAATAAGGTGAAATAGTAACTACTATTTTTAGCCCTTTCAGTTAATCCTGCCATTAAAGAATGCCAAAATAAATCTTCATTTGCAGAATTTCTTCTTACTTATAAATCAAATACCTGATAACTTGCCTCCGTGTGGCATTAAACCTGAAGTCATGGCTCCATATTCGTGCAAATTTTAGTGGGAATCGCATGACTCCATAAAGCATTAAAAAAAAAGTGATGTGCTGTCATCTGCTTGCAGATCTGAACTAAAGTCATTTACTGTGACTACAGAGCCCACTCCTTTTAGGCACAAATAGTGCAGCTGACGTATCCTTTTTGGTACATGATTAGATACGTGTCCTCATTCTCTAAAGAAAACCTGGAATTAATCCTCTACTTTCCTAGGTCTTTAACTATGAATACGAAACATAAACAAAGACAAAATAACCTAAGTCTACTTTGGTCCACGTGTTGTTATATTACCTGACTGGCACACTGGACCTCCTATTCTGAGAAGTGTCCCACTAAGCCTCGCACACACTCCCTTATGCTAGCAGGATTCAGGTGGGAGTACAAGCAGTTTCACAGTGGAGTGATCAAATGAAGGAATATATTATCTGAAGAACTGTGTTGGATAATCCACTCATTAAATTAGCAGTGTGCACTTGGGAGAAAAAAAAAGTGAAACATCTGTGCTTACAGCAAAGGCCACCCATCAAGGAAAGGAGTGTGAAACTGTGTCCCCTGGAATCTCTGTGGTTTCCATGCCAGACTGCACCCTGGGGCCAGGAGGCTACAGATGGGACCTGAGGCCACACACACCTCTCTTGACCTGGGGTGACTGCTCTAGTCACGAGGAGTCGCTTACCACTAAGTCAAGAGTGATGGCAAAAGGGAATGAAAGTTTGTAAACGCGTGTGCACTCTCAAGTCAGTGACTGTCCTATACCTCTGCTCTTCGTCTCATCCACACCTTCTCATCTCTTCAACCTCCAAGGGTCATCTCTCTTCTTGGTTTACTGACAAGACCTGGATTTGCTCCCTTTCCACCTCCATGTTTTAGCCTTAAATCTATGCTCTCTACCCTTTTCTGTAATCTTGCACCTCTCTCCTTTGCCCCCTCCTTTCTCCCCCATGCCTCTCTACCTCACTTCCCCCTTCCCTCCCTCCCATCCTTTCCTCTCCCCACCCTTTTTGAATCTCACCTATTCATTTGCTCAAGTCTCTTGGACACTGGTGGATACTTCCTCTGACCCTACTTCCCACTCAAGCTCCTGCTTCATCTCTCTCCTGCCTCTCCCACCTGAGGTTTTCCACCTACCCGTCCTTCATTCTGCTCCACTTCCCACCTTCCACTGACTTCCATATCCTTTGCCATCTGGGCGTTCCTTTCTTAGCTCTCCTGAAACACATCTCCCAGTAGGCAAATGTAATGGCCTTCCCTCTGTCCTTACCCACCTCCCAATCTTTCATCAGGTAGAACAGCTCTGGGGAGCCTGGGTGGCTCAGCTGGTTAAGCATCAGACTCTTGGTTTTGGCTCAGGCCATGATCTCAGGGTTCGTGAGACTTAGCCCCACACTGGGTTCTGCCCTGACAGCATGGAGCCTGCTTGGGATTCTCTCACTCCCTCTCTCTCTGACCCTCCCCTGCTCACATGTGCATGATCTCTCTCTTTCTCTCTCTCTCTCAAAAATAAACATTAAAAAAAAAAACCAAACACCTAAGCCTCCCTTTCATGTTTAAGCCCATACTTTCCAGAATACTTTACTCCCCTAGTTCTCCAACCACCTCCTCATTCTTTGTCTCCTTTTCTTTCTCCTGGGGCACTGTCCTAGCTCTTACCTCCCATGTCTCCATACTCAATCCTATCCCATCATTTTAACAATGAGATCCATTCCTATGGCTCTTCAATCTGAGTCTTTAGCTCTGATTTCTGTGTGTCTCAAATTCCAGACCCATGAATAACACCCTATGAACTGTCTGTTGATTCCTCAAACACAGCTTTTCTAAACTGAACTCAGGATCATTTTCCCACACTCAAATCTTCTCTCCTTCTACCTTTCCCATCTCAGATAACAGGATTACCATGCCTTTTATCATTCATGTTAGATTAATGTGATCCTCTCTCTTTATGGCTTGTCTCTCACATCCAGACAGTCTTATTAAACTCTTATCCATTTAGCTCTACAGAAATGTTTGAATACGATCCCTTCTTCTCCAATAATTTGGTCCCTGCACCCATTCAAAATCTTCTTATCTGATCTTACCTCTTGAGTCCTTCACCTGCCACTCTGCCCACACACCCACACACCTTTCAGATACATCTTCCGGGAACAGTGGTTTTCAGAGTGGCAGCTCCAGGCCGGCAGCATTAGCATCACGTGGAAAGATGTTTAAAATGCAAATCCTAGGGCCCCACTGAAGACATACTGACTCATAAATTCAGAGAGTGGGGGGCCCATCAACTTCTTCTTATAAGCCCTCCAGGAGACTCTGGTGGACACTAAAGTTTGAGAATCACTACCCCAGAGCATGCCATTGGTTTTTAATTACAGTATCATAATCCTCTACTATCTCCCCTATGAGTTTAAAGTAAATATTCTTTTTTAAAACATGAACATTTAAAATTAAAAAATAATGATTCCTTAGTATAATATTCAAGGTTCCTTCACTATGTGACTTTAAATTACCTTTCCAGAGTTATGTCTCACCACTTCTTCTCGCCCATCCCATACTCCAAAAAAATCTGGATATTTTCTGTGGCTTCTGAGCTTCCTTAACAGTTGACCCCACTGCTTCAGAAACCTGACCCCATGGCTTTCTATTCTTTCATCATTTCTTCATCATGCAACTCAAAAGCAATCTCTTCTGTAAAGTCTTTCTGAGATCCTTCTTCCTTCTGTGTCACTAAGAAAGTCCTCTCTTCCAGCTCTGTGCTCCCATAGAACCCCATTTCTATCACTATTATTATATCCATCCTATCTTATAGTGCTTTTATTTGTGTATTTCTGCTGTCTGCCCTAATAGATTGTGAGCTCCTTGAGGGCAGAAACTATGTCTGTTTCATCTCTGTATCCCTAGGGACTCTTACAGTGTTTTACACACAGTAGGGACTCAAGAAATGTCTGTTAATGTGAATGGAATTATATCCCTAGAAGAGAAAATGTATATGTGCCACCTTCTCCCAGTGAGAAAAACCAAACTTCTTAATTCCCATGCTGCAATACTGACTTCATTTTTCCCCAAAACTTACCCTACCACTTCCCAACTTTGTCCCAAAAACTGCTAGAAGAAGCTTTCCTATGGAAAGAAAAATAATTGCCCACTGAATAAATGAATATACTTTATTCATTAGGATTCAGTCTAAGCCGCTCTCAAAGAAGAGACCTCCAAGTACAGTAGTTCAAACAAGACAGTTTCATTCTCTCTCATGTGACAGTCAAAAGGTAGGGGGCAGCCCAGAGTGAGTAGGGGACTCTGTTCCACAACATTATCTAAAGACTCAGGTGCCTTTCATCCTGTGGTTCCACAACCTCCCACCCCCAGGTCTTATTCTCATCTGCATAACCAAAGTTGATGCACCACCATATCCACAGTCCAGTCCATAGGAAGGAAGAGAGAGAAGTAGAGAGCAATTTCCTTTTAAGGAAGTTATGTGGATCATGTAACTTCTGCTTGAACTCCATTAGCAATAACTAGGTCACATGGCCACACCAAGTTGCAAAGAATAGGAGAGTAAATCTCCAGCTGGGCAGCCATGTGCCTTACTAAAATTGAGGAAATTATAATAAAAGGAAGAAAAAGAATGGCTACAAGGGGACAGTGAACAGTCTACCTCAAAGGGATATTGGTTTCCGTGCGTACAGCTCATATATTCCAGGCAAGTCGATCGGTTACCCAGCTAGTGGTGATCTATGTACAAGGATGTTGAGATTTAATTCTTGGGTGACTTGACTGAGATTGCGTATATGCTGAAAATCCAGTATTTATCATGACTATATCTCTAATATCTAGAAATTATACGAGCAACCCTCTTGTTTTCCCATCATCTTCCACATATCATCATTGAAAATTCTTGGCAATTACAAGCATTTTAAATGTTAAGAGTCTAAGTAAATAAAAAATAAAAAGCAGAATAATAAGTAATTTTCACTTACTCATTTTTACTGCTCATTTCCAATTTACCAGATAAGTCCTAATTAAATGCAATTCTCTCACACCAATATTTGCCCTTATCAAAGAAGAATCTGTATTTATTTCCTAGTGTAAATCAAACCTGTTGGGGGAAAAAAATCTGCTGTTTGGTTTACTCATTTAACCAATAGTGCTAGCTGGTATTGACTACCATTGCCACTTTTAATGAAAACTGACCATATCTGTCTAATATCAAAGTGTGGGTCAGGCCAACACATATAGACACCACATCGGTTAAAGAATTTCCCATGACATTGGCAGAGATCATTAAGAAAAGGGACACAGTAAAATATCTATCAGCAAGGAGGAGGCATTGGTGCTTCAAAGGATTGACTCATATCCTTATTTTGTAGAAAGGCTTTCAAAGACCAAAAATAGTCTCACCTAAGTCACTTCAGACTTAGAATTAAAAGAGACTCTCAGGAACCTGTCTGTAGAAGGAGGAGATAGTTCAAAAGGTAGGAAGGATGACTTTAGATGTTTCTGGAACCCTTAAGTTATCCAAAGGCCCTCCTTTCTCCCCATAAACCTCACCCTGGAGAATATACAGCAAGCTTCAGCCTTGCCACAAAAATGGTTTGAAATTATTTCCTTCAGAAAGGAATCACTCTGAAGAAAGAACGGTTTAAAGAAAGTAACCCATTGGCACTCTAGAAGCTCCCAGCACCTAACACAGAGAGTGGTGCATGATGTCACTCCATTTATATAATTCACATGTCTATTGAATCTAATTGAAATGAACACATTGATTACAGACTTCAAGACATTTAGAAGTAGAAATGTGTAGCAGATAAGAAGTTTTTCATATGGACGTGGCGTTGTCACATATTCAAATTTTTTTTTAAGGAAAGGGGCATCAGGACAATGATGATACAAAAGAAAC